CTAACCACCAAGAAAATGATCTCCCCAAAACGGGAACATCAAAAAAAGAATGAAGAGAACGAACAACTTACAGATCGTTGAATCTGAAGTCATGGCCTGTGAATATCACAGAGATTAAGCAAAAAACCATATGACCTGTGAATACCACACAAAGGACCAACAAAATTTCACAAAAAGGTATGAGAACTACAGGGCAGTTGCTGAGAGTAGCACTAATGCCATAAATTTTTATCATACCTGTCAGCTGAGAATCTGATCAAAAGCGAGGAATTGTTAAGGAGACAGTAGATCCAAAACTGAGTCACTTGTGCTAAACCCCACCAAGACTTAACACCTAATCTAATTGCAGCTTCAGCTTCTTTCAGAAACGTGACCTTCAGCCAGCCAAACTGGAATTTCCTGGTCAGCACGAGGAGGTAATCTGCTAAGAGACCCTCTCTGTTCCCTTTGGGAGGACAACCTTGCTGAAAACAAGGCATTCTTTACTAATAATTTCCTTTATTCCAGCTCCCTCTCTGCCTTTAAAACCTTTTCCTTTTGTGCAGCTTGATGGAGCTCCTTTCTATTTGCTAGATGGGGTACTCCCCAATTCCAGAGTCCTTGAATAAAGCCACTTTGATCTTCAAATTTACTCAGTTGAATTTTTGTTATTTAACAGGTACCTCTGTGAAAAAGGAAGAGAGATCCACATCACCCATAATGCCTGAACTGAAAAGTAGGAATACAAGCATTTATTTTTATAGAGGTATGGAGACCCCAAAAGAATCAGCTGACAAGAGTTGAAAGTGGTCCCTTCTGGGGAGGGAGATCTAGGAGAGTGGAAGGAACACAATGATTGTTCTTTTCCATCATTAAGCTCATAGTTCTATTTGTCACCTTAAGCAATTTAATACATATAGCCTCGTTAAAAATTGAAGCTTAAAAGGAAAAGACACCAAAAGTTCAAATTGGGGATGATTCTTTTAAAAAGGAACTAGCCGTACCACACCCCAGCTACTGCTTAGGAAAAGAGGATGTTTTCTTTAGACTACTGCACTCAAAACAAATCAAACAAAACAACCTAAAAATCTTCCACCCAAATTCTAATAGAGGGTTGAGAGTGTTTCTGGGCTAGAGGAATGGAAGGTAATTAAATTACATATAACACTATCATCTTATGTTAATTGGCTTGAAAAGAAACACAGGCTCTGGAGAGATGGAGGGTGTGGCTGAGGATCTGAGGGCAGAAGGAAGAGCTGGGAAGGAGCTCGGTGGGAATGAGTGGATCCATTCTGAGGTGAAGAGTTGGGGGACCCAGAAGTCTGAAAACCCAGAAGACACACTCCTGGGAAACTCCAGTGGCAAGGGATCTGGAGACACAACTGCCTCAGAGAATTGTCAGCTTAGAGCGGCTGCAGAAAGAAAAGTACTCTACTTATTCAGACTTTAAGACCCTGAGAGAGCAGAAGGAAAGTGAATTAACTCAGAAAGGTTAAACCTTAAGGTAACAGGGGAAGCTGGCTGGTGAGGACCTGGAAGAGAACTGCTTACCTATCAGTCTCTACCTGCATGTAGGGCTCCCAGGATACAGGACTTCTATGTTTTCACACTAGGAAGGGTCCTGGGCAAACTGGGATGAGTTGGTCACCTTACTTCCATGGTTCTAGGTGCTCACCAGAAACATTTGGTCCTTTGAGTCTATTCTTTCAGTCAGCCTACCATCCTACAGCTGGCTTCTCTTTTTCCACTTAGCTCGGACCTTGCATTTGGTCTGCAGTCTTGTCCTTTAGCTCCAGTAATGCAGGACAACCCAGCCCTGGATGAACGCATCCCTGCAACTGGGTCTTGAGTAAAAGGAGTGAATCACACGCTCACTTAGTCATTGTGCGGTCTGCAACCTCACTCTATCAGTAACATCTCGGAGGTCAGTCATCGTCCTACTCACTTGAATTAATCCAGACCCATACAACCTTTGTACCTTCATTATCAGCATCCAACCCGACTCCCATTTCATAAGTACACAGACAAAATAATGCAAACACCTGCCATGCTCCAGCCACCCAGCCTGCACACTCTTTCATATCTGCGCACATTTTGGTGTCTCTCTTCCTGTGCTCTTGGTTCCATCGCTCCTCCTCTGGGATCTTGTGCTATCCGTTATTTCCTCTCGCTGACTTTACAAGATGCTTTCTTCTCTGCCTATTAACACACTCAATTTTAACATACTATATTCAGCCCCTCCATGACTTGTCATCCTCCTTAAAGCTACCAGACTTTTATTTATTTATTTTTTTGGTCCCTCTCTTTCACCCAAGATTCTTGGAAGAGCATTCTCCATTCCTTACTATGTTTCTTGTTGCCTCTTCATTTCTTACCTTCAGTAAAACTTCTGCCCCCTCCAGTCTACTGAAACTGTTCTTGCCAGTTACCAGTGACCCACCAACTGTCCAAGTCGGCACTTCAGTGATCTACTGTGGCTCCTGGATGCACTGTGTCATACTGTGTATGACACGTTAGTATTTCCTGAGACTCTGGAAAACCCTTATCACCTCGCATTCCTCTTAGGTCTTATGGGTCCTTTGTCCTCCACCTACCCCTGCAGCATTCAAGTATTCATGTTATCATAGTTTTTCCTCAACTCACTGTTCTTTTCTTATTCTACAACCTTTCCCCTGCAGGATGGGGGTGGCTGGGGTGGGGAGTGGAGCTCATCTGCTGTATCTCTAGCCCAGCTCTCCCCACACTCTCTTCTTCTTTATATCTAATTACTTACTGGTTAATTATACCTGAATGTCCCATTGGGATTTCAGACTCAACTTGTTCAGAATCAAGTTCATCACCTTCTTTCCCAAATCCTATAAACCTTCTGTCATTGGAGGCAGCAAACCCCTCCCCTAAATCACTTAAACCGGATGCCTGGAAGTCACTCCAGATCCTCCTTCTTTCTCCCTCCTCTCCACTGCCCTAGTTCAAGCCCTCAAATTTATTGCCTAGATAATTACAATAGTCTCCTAACCTGTCTCTCGTCCACCCTTCCCCTCTTCAAAGACACGCTTACCTTGTCATTAGATGATACCTCTAAAAGGCAACTCTGATAATGCTATTCTCCTTTTTAGAACTCTTCAATGGTTTCCCGGTGCCCAAGAGATAAAGTTCATGTCCCTAAGCTTGTGATGGAGATTTAGGGCAGGCTGCCCCGAAATATACCACCTTGGGACATCGATTATTTTGAATTAAAGTTACTTAAGCACAGACAATGTAAGAAGGATATTCTAACCCTACTTTGTTTCTCAGAAAGCAGAAAATAAATGTCCCATGTGAAAAGTACCCCCCCCCCCCCCCCCCCCCCCCCCCGCACCAGGAGGTAAGGAGACATCCTTATGGCTGGATATAGAGAATTCAGGGCTATAGAACAAACCCTCTTACCTCACCTTGTTGGGTCTTCACTAATTTGCACCAAACCCAAACTTCTTTGTCTTGCCAATGCTTCACAGATTTATTATTTCTTTGTCTAAAAGGTCTTTGAGTCTCATATTTTTATGAGCTCCTGCACATGTGAGATTAAATTCGTTTTTCTCCTGCTAATCTGTCCTATGTCAATTTAATTATTAGGTGAGCCAAAGAACCTAGAAGGAAGAAGGAAAAATTTTCTTCCCCTGCACATGGCACTTGAAGCCCTAAGTCATGTGGCTCCTGCTTGCCTTCAGTGTCCTCTCCAGACCTTCTCTGGTATGGTAATAGTTTATTTCTAGCCCAAGGGTCAGCGAACTTTTTCTATAAAGGGCCAAATAGTAAACATTTTAGATTCTGCAGCCCGTGGAGTCTTTGTTTCAACTATTCAACTCTATCAAAGCAGCCGTGAATAATATGTAAATAAACAAGTATGGCTGTATTTGTTCCAACTAAATGCTCTTTAATGAACATTAGAATCTTATATTTTTCATGTGTCATGACATTATTTTTGTACATTTATTCCCATTTAAAAATGTAAAAAGCATTCTATAGAATGGTTGCAGAGAAACAGGCCGTGGATTTGGAGGCTTGTGGGCTCTGACCTCTGCTCCAGCTGTAGGGAACGCCCTGTAATTCTCTAAGTGTTCTAGATGGTTTCTTGGCCCATGCCCTCATTCATGCTGTTTCTCTCTCTCTCTCTGAACAGCTTTTCCCCTTTATGCCTGGCTTTCTCCCATTTAACCATCAGGACTCACTACAGGCTCCACTTTCTTGGGGGGAAGCAAGTCTTTTCTGACCCCAACAGGTACAGGTAAGTGCCTATCTTTTGGGCTCCTATATCACCCTACGCGTATCTTTATTATGATACTTACCCACGTTGTATTACACGTTCTATCATATGTCTGCTCCTGCCATTCCTCCACTAAAACACTGTATTTGAGTCATCTTTGTATCCCTAACACTTAGCACAGTGCCTGGCCTCTAATAGGTAATCAAGAACATTTGTTGAACTGCATCAAGAAATCTCTAAGATGGTACGCTGCTGATTGATTTTGTCTAAATAGAAGAGGATCCCATGTATCATATATATATAAATGATTATAACACTATTTTGTGCGCTCTCCCCTGCCCCATTCATCCGTATATACTCCTGGAAATATTGCTGAGGTAAAGGGTTGGTGGAGAAGGAGGTACAAGGAAAGCTGGGATCGATGGGAACAGAGCTTTCTTATTGACAGTTACGACCACCACCACTCCAGGCTGTAAAAAGTCTAGGTGACAGACAACTTCCAAAGAACGTACACATACACCAACACGCAAATGTTGGGCCACATCCAAGCCTCTGAGGTCAGGGCATTAGGCAAGGTGAATTTCAGGAGATTCCTTGAGTGCCGAGTTCCTGGCACAGACTCATTCTCACTGAGACGCCAGAGTAGCAAGCGGAGTCTGGACAGGGGGTGGGAGCAGGTGTGGAAAAGGGAGTGAGGAAAAGGTTGGGGGCGGGGGCTGGGAGGCCAAGAGGGGAGGGGCCCAGCCTGCGATTCCTGATGCCTCCTGCATGTGTTCACCTGGCATCCAGAGCGAATTCCGTCTCCTCCAGCGCATACCATGGTGCTCTTCACGGTGGAGCCCCAGTAGCTGGAACTGGAGCAGGTGGCGTAGTCCACACTGGGCAGGTAAGCCTGCTGCAGGGCCTGGGCCAGCTGCCCGTTGGCTGAACAGGACACACAGCGTTGGAGGTCAGCCCCAAACCCTCTCGGGGGCGGGGGGGAGCCTTCCACACCCTCCCAAGCCTTCCCAAGCTCCAGTGAAAGCTGAACTCAGGGCAAGCTCCTTCCAGGGCGTGCCACAGATCCTCTCCCCTCCCCACTTTATATGCAAGCTACAGGCCCCTTCCTTCAGGGCTCATCCTTGATCACTGTTCCCAAGCTCCAAACCACCAACCTCCAATCTCCCTACTGCTGCTTAAAAAAAGGAAAGCACTTTAAAGTCACCGAAATGGTCGTATTTGTCGAGAACTCCCCTGCTTTCACTTCACACTGTAAATCCCACGAAGCAGAACCGGGACCATACACCCTTCTTTTCATTTCCTAAGAGCTTGCTGCAGCTTTCCTTTATCTGGCTCTTTGGACTTTTCAAAGCCTTTGCACATGAATTACTTCTCTGCATCCTTACAACGATGCTTTCATGTTATAGAGATCAGGAGGTCGAACCACTATGATATTAAGTGAACTGAGAGCAGCTGCATTAGAAGCATGTCTCTCTCTCTCTCTCTCTCTCTCTCTCTCTCTCTCTCTCTGTCAGCTCCAGGTTTTCCCAGCAGACTGGCTGCTTGTGGCAAGGCCTTGCCTCTCCCCCAGAGCTCAAATACCGCCTCCTGGCTGACAGATGTCTGTGTCAGTCCTAATGTCCCTGCCCTTCTTAACCATCTCTGCTCATACCCCATCCTACCTTTCTGTGTTGTCTGGATGGCATTGCCTACCAGAACTCCTCCCGCGATGAGAAGAAAGCTAGCTGAGTTCTCTTTTGCCTTCACTCCTCTGGACCTACAGCTACCTCTGGTTTAGTCACCCCAACCCACAGCCCGGCGACTTTGGAGGTAGCGTGATGGTGTAACGACCACCAGAGTGGGAGCCAGGATACCCGGGTCCTGGCTCCAGCGAACTAGTTACTAACCAGTCATGTGGTCTTAATTTTCTTGGGCCTCAGTTTCCTCAGGTTATAAGATGAGAGGCTTGTAAAACTACGCCGTGAGGGAAGGTGGTATGTGGTAGGTTTTGTTTTGTTTTGTTTCTCAGTTATAAGACTCTATGAATCTCTGACTCGACTGTTCCGTGGCCTATTCTTAGCTCGATTTCACGCACCAGTTCTTCGATCTCTGGTTCCTCGTCCCTGACTAGGGCTGCGACCTAGGGCTACAGAAAAATGCTCCCCAGAAGCCCAGCTACCTACTCAAGACCCATGTGGTGGATTTTGCCAACGCAGGCGACTTACTCTTGGTCATGCCCCAGCCTGTGATGTAGCAGGGACTGTTGTTGGCCAGGATGGTTCCCGCCGCTGGCAGGACACCCAGCTGCACATAGTTGTTGAGGGTAACTCTCTGGGCCAGGCGCAGCAGGGCAATGTCATAGCTGTGGGAGGAAATGAGCCTGCTCAGGCCTTCCGTCAAGGTCGGCGCGCGGGGCGGCCCTCACTAAGCCTTTGTGTGCCCATAGAATTCGAAAGGAACAACTCGGAGAAGGGCTCGGGAGGCTGGTTTGCTCGGCCTCCGACTCAGTCAAACACAGCTGGATTGTAGGATATTACTTGTCGAACAGCAGCACCTGCTGGTGAGGTCTTGGTGTTGTGGTCTAGCTGTGGCCTCTGTGGCCTCTGCGACCTGGGTGGTGGTAGTGGGGCTTACGTCTCTCAGTAATGAATGGGGAATCAGAAAGGAGCCGAGTGCTGTGATCTTGGCCGTAGAGAAGAATTCTCAGGGAAGAAAGACCTACCGTGCTGCGTGGGTCTGAAAACTCCGCGGCGATATCCCAGCTCCTTGAACCCGCTCCCCGCCCCCCACGCCCCCCAGCACTGACCACCATTTTAACTACCTCCTTTCCCAAAGCGTACGGCTCAGTCTGGCGCGAGTTTTCTCAGATCAGATTCATTTTAAGACATTTACTTTTGCTGACGGAGTCGATTCCCTAAAATGAGTACTAAGTAACAGCCGAAATGGAAACCTTGAACGCTGCAGAGGAGTTTCAGGGGACCCAATCACGCAAACCAGCCTAGATCAAACAAGTGACAAAGACCTGCCAAAATTCTCAAGCCTCCCAAAACCTAAATTCTCAGAGTCCTTCCGAATGAACGTGAGGGAAGCCAAGCCCCTGTTGCTGGCCAGTCAGCCCCCTACCTCCAGCCCAAGGCCAGCCCAGCCCTGTCCCTACCCGGCGGCCACGTTATTGCTGTTCCAGTAGGGATGCACCACGATCTTCTGCACACTCACACGCTGCTCGGTGCCATCGTTCTGGCTCAGGTTGTGCTCTCCAGCCACCACACGGAAGGTCATTTTGCTGGAGTGAGAGAAGAGCAGGAAGCCCTGAGTGATCCGGGGGGCTCTTTTCCATCAGAGAAGAGTTGGGAAGCCATCTCACATCTTATCTTTAGAAAAAGAACTCATCGTAACTGGCCCAGGCAGAGGGCAGATGAAAAAGCCTGGAAGACGAGGAAGTAACAAGCCCCCTTGTTCTCGAATTTACTAACCTGTGGCGGTGACAAAAACTACTAGCAACTTCACTGCCCCATTTTTATTTATTTTTTTTATTTATTTTTGAGACAGAGAGAGACAGAGCATGAACGGGGGAGGGGCAGAGAGAGAGGGAGACACAGAATCGGAAGCAGGCTCCAGGCTCTGAGCCATCAGCCCAGAGCCCGACGCGGGGCTCGAACCCACGGACCGTGAGATCGTGACCTGAGCTGAAGTCGGACGCTTAACCGACTGAGCCACCCAGGCGCCCCTCACTGCCCCATTTTTAAAGCCCAGCAGCAGAGGCTGAGTATCTCATAACCTGGGAGAGGTGTGGTGAACATAAATGAAATAATGGCTCTCAGCCCACAGAGAGATTTTGAGGGAAGGATAAAGAAATAGTTTAAAGCATGATCCCTGGGCCAGCAGCACCAGCATAACCCGGAAACTTGTGAGAAATGCGGATTATCAGCCTTCAACCTGAACCCACCAAATCAGAAGCTCTGATTTGTGCCTTCCAGGTGATTCTGATCCATGCTCAAATTTGAGAATAGTTGCTCAAGACACATACGAACAAAAATGATTGCCAGCCAGGCATTGACCAGGCACTTAAATATTTACCTACTTAATCCTCACAATAACTCGGCAAAGTAGGTATTATGACCCCATTTTAGAAATAAGAGAATGAGAGCTTAGAGAAGCTAAGGAAGTCATCCAAAGGCACAAAGGTAGAAGGCGAAGCGGGATGGGAACCTAAGCTTGCCCGATGCCAAAATCTGTACCTTTCATTATAGTCTACTACCTCCCCACAGGCCCCCCAACACCCCCTTAAAGGCTTGTCCTGAGTGCTCAAAGATACATCTTCCTCCAGAAAGGCCAGACTTTTCCCCTTCCAGAGGCTCAGCAAAGCTGGGTTTTGTTTTTCTCACCGGTCCACACAGTGAGCAGCTGTCATCACCCAGTTCTGTCTGATGAGGGTCCCCCCACAGGTGTGATACCATTTGCCCCCAGAGAGGTACTGGAGGGAAATCTAGAAGGGGAGGAGAGAAAGGAGGGAGAGGTTGGCGTTTCTTAAAAGGCTTTGCCCCAAACTGCATATTACACTTCTTTCCATTCCTTCCATCCTTGCAAACATTCTCCAGCTTTGTGGGCCAGAGATGGCAAATGGGTTTCATTTGACCTGTCAGTTTCTGCTGATCGGTCGCTATTGGCTCCTCGGAGTGGTGGTGAGAAGGGGTGTGGAGACGGCCCCGGGATCAGCAGGGAGTGCTCCACCATTGGGTGATGTTTGCTGTGTACGTGGACGGGGGAGGAAAGGCACACACACAGCGTATTTGACATCCCCACTCGGGGTTGGTGCAAAGGGCCGAGAACCCAGGTCCTTTGACCTGCGTTCCCTCTTGGAAGGAAACGTGGCCATGGAATGGCTCCATCACCTAAGCCCACAGGCTTAGGTCTCCAGAGCTCCCCCTCCAATGACCTCCAGATATGTCCTGTCCCCCCACTTCAGGGAATACTCAGAACCACCACTGGAATATTCATTTTTATCAGTTCATGTCTTCCTCAGCACCTCGTATTCCACCATCGCTCTACTTCTGAAAATTCGGGTGCAAACTTCAGTGAACTGAATTGAATTCCAATTGGAGTGATTCCTCTCAAAGTGTGGTTATTCACCAGTTAATTTGCCAATTTTACGCATTTAGAATTGCTTAACTCAAAGCCTAGCTGCCCTGTGACGAAAGTAGAAACGCTTTAAATAGCCAAATAAGCTACATGCTCTACTTGGGGGTGGGGTGGGGGTGTGCTTG